GCAGCTCAGAGTGCTTTATTCATTATTGAAAACTGAACCACACCCTCCACAAAGGCTCGCAGTTTGGAGCTAACTTTGGATCAGTCACTTCCAGCGGTACTTCCATCTGACCAGGACCCTAAACTGTTATCGCACTTCTGAGGGGAATCGCCCTGTAAACAGTGGTAAGAGCGCCCTGATGCTCAGACAGAAGTAGTGGCAAATCGGAGCAAGAATTCGTGATATACAGTCTTTCTAAAGGCTAAAATAAAACTTTTAAAAAGCCACAAACAAACGTCCAAAGAGCAACGCTTACTTCATCAGATGTTAACCTTAGCATTTCTATCTTTATAACTTGAAAGCCTTGTTTCTGTCTTTCACCAGACAGTAGCCGCCATTCAAATTGGCCCTTCCCAACCGAATGGCAGCTGAATGGCAGCCCACTTCCCTCCAACTCCCAGCAAAATCCCCTCCAACATCCAGCCACTGGAGTGAACCCCTCTTGAATATTTTTTTACTCTGATTCCACCCTTTCACGGAATTACAGGGTCGGACTAGGAGACAACGCTTCTCTTTAGATCTTAATGTCCACAAATCATGATAGAACCAACATTTTAGTACAAAGATTGATGTTTAAAAAGGAATTAAAGGGGAACAGCCGAGGGCCCATCAAGGAAAGTGGGGAAATTTTGAATGGCTACTACTGTACTTCAAACTCACATAAAGTTACTGCCTGGTTGTTGCAGCAAAAATATACAGAAAAGTTTGGTTTTTCAACTTAAGCAAAATTCGCTTTGTTTCCATAATTATATAAAAATAATCACAACCACTCCATCATCATTGCTAGAAATGCTTTGCTTCACTCCTGAACGCACCACTACATAGGGCTAATGAATCAACACTTTTTTTTCATAAAGACCAAAAAACACCTCAAGCGAGTATTAAAAATTTTTTGCTAAGTTAGGTTAAGGGAGTTTATTCATATTTAGCGGTTTCCATCATGTGATACTTCAAAATGTGTGTTAGAAAACGCTGATGAAATGCACCTAGTGGCCTCTGATGCAGGAGTTCACCCTGCAGCCGAAGGCCTGCTGCTCCACCAGTTGCAGCTGGAGTAGAGGTAAATAGAGGCTGTCCTCCATTACACAGCAAATACTTAGTGGCTGTTTGCAGCCGCTTTGTATGTTATCATCCCAATAAATGGCTGTAATTAGCGGTTATCAGTCCCAGAGAATGGCTTCAGATTGTGCCTTCTACCTACCAGTAGGCTTAGTATGGTAGGTTGTTATCACTGAATGAATCCTAGTCCTAAACCTAACACAAATTCTGTTTTCCAAAAGAATTTATTAATTTGCGTAATCTGAAAATAATTGCAGTAGTTCTTCTTGTACTGAAAAAAAAGAAAAATGTTGCTCATAAGAAATGAACCAAAAACAAATAAATCTTATATCGTGTCAACGGAGTTGAAGAATCCTCTCCCTATAAATATTTAATTCTCTGTGAATTAATGCCGATCATTCTTTAATAAGATCCTCGTCTAAAGGACCCACAATGTTTGATTTTTTATTTTGAACTGGGGAGAAAGTTACTAATGCAACAGAAACAGAAGTTGAGGAAACTGTCTTAATGAAATGGAAAACTCAGAGTTTCAGGTTTAGAAAACGTGGGAGTTTTCAGTAAACCTGCTTCTCGAAAAGGACCACGGTTCTTGAAATAGCAAAATGAATGATAAGAATCAACAATAATGAATCATAGAAGTTAGAGACACAGTTCCATAAATCAGTTACGTTTAATCAGTCTGAAAAATACCTCACCTTTAATACATATTCTTTGAGAGTCAGATTTTAGAGCTTTATGTGACTCAGTGTTAGATCAGGGCACCATATTCTGGGGCTATTGTGTTTTTTACAGCATTTTAATGCATCTTCTCCTCTCTGCCTTATTTATGTTTAGCCAAAGGCCTTAAAAAGTCAATGTTACAAATTCCACATCGTATCTTTTTCATCATTACACAGATTGTGGATATACAAAAATAAATTTTATTTAAGGCGCTGCAGGAACTCTTTAGGAAAGCAGATATTCTAGAAACTGTGGGCTGATGAATTTAATCCAGCCTGTGTTCCGAAATACATTTCGGAACACAGGCTGGAGTAAAACAAAGCAGACCTACATGAAGAAATCACTTGTTGCCTCAGGACATAGAAATAATAAATGTGGTCATGCTCCATTATTTAGTCACAGTTTACCCTCATTACAAGCTGTCAGAAGGAAGCAAATGTAATTCTCCAGGTATCAGAATATAAAACATGTCATTAATAGATAGAAGTTTCATTTTAAACCTGTTAACATCATATAACACGGATGATAAAACCCAAGTCAAACAGATATTTTTTAATTATTATCCACGGCTAATGCTGCACATCTTAGCATTTCCTGTGTTTCCTAGTTGTGTAAGGTGTTCCTTTGGCTATTCGTATAAAGCAGGAAACATTAAGCCCTGCAAGCTCAGAAGCCAGGAAAGTGACTGAAATATGAAAAAGGAGGTTTTATGAGAAGAAAACGTCTTACTGTATGTTTTATGGATTTTTGCTGTAATAAAATAAACTCAGCTTGGGTTTCTTTCTTTTTTTACATTTTCTTTTTTTACATTTTCTCCTTTTGTGCTCCTTATATTACCATGCTGGCAACCTCACAGAGAAAGTACGACCATAATAAAAGTCTCTACCACCATGCCTAAAACTGAGGCGCAGCTGAATGTGGGAAACAGGCTGATTGACAGGGGAATAAAGGAGGCATGCAGCAAGGAGGACTCATATTGAGAGCAACGGAGAGAGCTCTTATATTCAAGGAGCTACAGATAAAATGGAAGGAACTTCAAGGCAAAGAGCAAAGTTTGCGATCAGACTTTCAAATAATGTATGTATGTACATTAGAGCACCTGATCTATGCTTTAAGATCAATGTGTCCTTCCATCATTTTTCTATTTTAATACTTCAAAATGTATGCTTTTCACAAACTTCAATACTTCTTTCTTTGCAGAAGAATAATATAATTTTGATATGTATAACAGTTTGTGCCTGTCTTCATCTAAGTCACTTTGTCCACCGAAGCAAAGAATTAAAACTGGACAGAGGAGTCCAGATGAAAAAGAAAATAGCAAGTATACTCCGAGTAGAGCCTATAAAGAGAAAATGAGTTGTATATTCATACTGCAGACAATCGATCTCTGACATCGCTGTGGAACAATTTCTGCACGCTTTGCTTCATTATAAGCATTAGCCGATTTCAGTCGAGCTTCATCTGTTGGAAGGTTTTGGCTGAAAGATGCTGTATGCTTGATTTGACGAAATGAGTGCCAGGAAACTAAATCTTAATGCTCCAGAACAAGCTCAGCTCATTGAAAACCACTGAGGTTGACTGTTGGTGTGAGTTGATGAGCTGTTTAGCTTCCAAACAAAACATATTTTTCAGTCTTTTTTAAATTGCATCCTCATACATTTTGACACTCAACTTAACAGAGACAAAAAAAACAGGAATATTCAATGTTGACACGAGTATTATCTGCCCAGGATATCTTCTACCTCTTTGATAATGATCTTACAAATCAACCCTGACAGATGGGCAGCAGCAGTTCTCTCACGTTATTCCTATTGATTATGGGTTAGCCCACAATTGCAGAAAAAAAAATCTAACTTTCAGAACTCTTATGCACTGTGGAGGCAACAATGATAAATTAAAAACTGGATTGTATTTCTGTTTTTTTCCACACATTTGCATAGAATCTCATGTCAAAAACGTAGAAGCCCTAGTAACTGTAATTTCCCTGCCATGCCACTAGAAGGCGGTGTGTTTTTCAAACCTCCTCAACACGTGTGTAGGTACAAATCCCCTCGGCTTAAAGGGTAAACAAATTTTCAAAATGACAAGGGAAAGGATGCTGCACAGAGTTCAACTGTTGCTTCCTGTGAGTGAATAACAAAATAATTGCTGTGGGGTTTAATCTAGTTGGCATCTGTTGCTGTGTGAGCATTCGCATTCATTTTTTGCCCATCGTGCAAACTGAGCCATGGCTTCTGCAAACAGGCAGATTCTGGGATGTTCTTTGAATCATGGCACTCAGAATTCTTGTTAAATTATGCTGTTTTTTCTAAGCATATGTGCACCAATGGGGTGTGCAACAACACTTCCCTGTTTAAGCCAAAACTGCCGTCTTGCTTACAGGACCTTTGTTGAATAAATGCTGGTCACTCTTTTTGATTGAAAACCAAACAACTGTATTTAACTAGCATACCTGCTAGCTTCTTTCTCTCATTAAACCTAATGTTTTATTAGAGAAAGAACATAATAAAATGTTTTAGTTGCACCAAAAAAAATTTTTAATGATCATAAAGCACAGTTTTGCATTTGTTTTTATCTTATCAGATGTTTACATGTATTTTTTGAAATTTGAATGGATTGCCCTTGAAACTGAAATACTTTTATCTCTGTGGATAACATTTGGACAACATTTGGGATACTGAAGAGTACAGAAGAGGATTAGGGCCACTGGAAAAAAAAAGTTTACTGATTTGAAAATTTTATTTCAGTTTAGTATGGGAAAAAAAATTGAATTCTGACTTTAATCTCAGAATTATGACTTTTTTTCTTAGAATTCTGACTTTAATATCAGAATTATGACTGTTATTGTAAGAATTTAGTCAGAATTCTGAGAAAAAAGTCAGAATTCTGACTTCTTAATTCCATGTTAAACTGAAATAAAATTTAAAAATCAGTTAACTTTTTTTTTTCAGTGGCCCTAATCCTCTTCCGTAGAAGAGAGATCCAGGTATCAGAAACTGCTATAAAGTGCTTTAAAGATTGGATATAAGGATTCCTTTCATCCATAAATCCTTCATAGCCCTGCAGCTTTATCTGTCGATGTATGTTTAACACTCCTTCACTTTAATTACTATGCAAAACCATGCAAGTACATTATAAAAAAAAAAAAAAAAAGATGTTTTTTTTTTTCTGTCTTAAAATGATTAAGCCTCACCAGAAGTCCGGCCATCCAGAGATCCGACGTTGCTCTCATCTGCCACTGAAAATAAAACACAAAAAACTTTAGTTAATAAAAATAAATATGTTATATTGCCATGTTAGTATCAGTTTGTTGCTTATGTTTTCTCATGTTTCACATCGGCTTCATGTCCTTGGTCCACCATCCTCTACCCAATAATTATTCTTCATGTCTCATTTTACTAGATGCCTTTCTCCTCTGTGATGTTAAGATGGCTTGAGTGCTACAGAAGCACTTTTCCTTCATACCTTTGGCCCCTGCTTCATTTTTCATTCACCCTCCCTCCTCTTGCTCACTTTAAGGCATTGCCCTGCATGTATCCCTCTGACCTTTTTCACCTTTAACCTCTGGTATCTTTTTCATTGTTTTCATTTTTCTTTGGTTACCCTCCATCCAGCTCTGCTTTCCTCCCACAGTCACTGCTTTGATCATTATTCCAAAAGTCAATTCCTCTCTGACTCCATCATACTGTTGCTCCTCTCTTTCCTTTCCAAGTCCCAAAACAATGAGCTGACTTGGTTTTACATATTTTTGTACTAAGAGAGAATCAAACTAAAAAAAAAGAAAAAAAAAAAGCAAATCAGAAAAAGGTGTTTGTTATTTATGTTATCATTAGGTGTTTCAAGCTAGAAAAAGGGGAATCAATACAAACCTAAAAAACAATTGTGTTTCTAATTTAGACAATCCTGGGTAAATACTCTGACTCAGAGTGCAGACAAGGCATTTTGTGTTATATATTACTGTTTTTCAATGTAGTAAGTTACACACTTTTATTTCGATGAGGAATTAAATTCCCAAAGGTAAAAAAATACAGCCAAAGTTTCATAGTCTGGTCAAACTGAACAATGAATTTTAACGTACAGCATGTACTTTTTAAAATCATGCATAAAAGCATGAAAACACTATATACATTAAAACACTGCCATCGACATCAGGGATGTAAATAACTTAATGAAATTATTCAGATTAATGATGGTTATAATATCCAACAGCTGCCAGGAGGAAAGATCTGCGACAACGCTGTGTAGTTCCATGTAGTGCCCAAGGAGAATACGTGTTACATGTTTGTCCAATAGCTTTAAGAATAATTAAAGACATCAATGATAGAATTGAAAGTTTTAAAACCTTTTTTTTGAGTTGGGAGAAAAAAAGATGTTTGTTTAAAGTCGAAGGGACACGGCAGTTCCATCCGTTTCATTTGCAAATTCTCCTGAGTGGTGCACGACTTTACAAGAGTGAATAAAGTAAATGTGATTGGTCGTTTATCAAGGGGGCGGGATTGTTGTGGTGGAAGGTTCGCAAGTAAGTTTGGTTGTGGCCGGTGTCTCGGAAGCATCTTGCTAACCAGTTAGCAACTCAGTGCTAGTAGGTTCCCATTGGGACCAAGTAGCACTAAATTGGTGACTTAGAAACGACACGGTCAAGGAACGCTATGGACAGCAGAAACATGAAAGAGGAGGAGAGTTTTGTGGATAAGTCTTTTATTTAGAGGAGAAAAGTGGGGACAAAGATGTTGTGGAAGAGGACGCCAGGGCAGCAGAAGCTTGGTTTGGTGTAGAAGGCTTACAGCCGTACATGTTTGAGCCCTTGCCTCGCAACGCTGCCAGTTCTGTTAGCTCTACGCCTGCAGAAGACACAGACGTCCATCCCCGTGAACATTGGGACGGAACTCAATGGGAAAGGAAATTATTGTTATTTCAACCGTTGCGTATATTAGCTGCGACATAAGAATAAAGATGCTATGACCGGAAAAATTTTGATTGACAGATGACTGTTGATATACGATTGGCCGAATTTAGGTGCACAAGCTGACCTATAACTAACTGGCCTGCATAAAGCAACGAGGAAAAAAAAAACAAAACAGATTTTAAGAAAGGTTTTTGTTTTTTAAATTGAAATTTTCTGAATTTTGGGACAATATAGACTGATAAAGAGTACATTTATATATATGTTTAAGCCAGAATGATTTTACATTTAAATATGACTTTCCTAAGACTTTAAGATTAATTTAGACAGAATACTTACAACTGATATAATAAGATACAAAGAAGAGCTTTGACCCCAGGTTAGTTTAAATTAGGAGAATGATTTCCTGGAAAAAATGAAGAGAAGCTATTCAAAAAGTGGAAACCTGTACATTTTACACCCTTTGTATGCCCTTTGACTTTTAGGAGTTTCACAAATGTCTTCATGTGGAGTGAGAGCATCTCATGATGTGAGGCTCAGTTTAACTAGCCTAAATCAGTGATAAGCATGTAAAATGCAGAGTTATACTACTTTGATTATATGTACCAACAGCTTATGCAGTACAAATGGCACTTTGAATATGAATATAGCAAATAATGATATTTTTAAGGAACCATATATTTGAAATGGATTGTAAAGTTCTACCAAGCATGGGGATCCTGTTTGGGCTATGACTAACAATTGGCTATCAGCTGACTATATTTTTGAAACCTTCTTCTCTTTAAATAATAAAACAAAAAAAGAAAATACTGGTACATACTTTTTATAAATCATGCCACTTGTTTTTTTTTTTTTCTCCTTCACTGGTTTGTGATATTTCTCTTTGTTTGAATTTGTACAGCTTTGTTAGCCGCGATAGGAGCTGGCCATGAAAAATGCGAGTAGGAGAAGGTTCACAGGTGAGGCTGTGGGCAGATGCCAGATCTACATGATTAGATATCTACAGGTTCTGAGTGGGAAAGCCAGGGCAGCAGTGGACTGGGTCAGAAACTAAACTCTGCTTCTTGTTTCCATCATTCACTGTCATTTTAGTGGAAAAAAACAAATCGAAAGAGGATCAACACAGAGATTCATATTAAGTCTTTACACACCTACTCCTCTTGTTGGAGAGGCTTTTCTAAACTGGTTAATGTAGAAAGTAATCCCAGTCAGTGAAGGAACACTGATGTTCAACTCAGCCAACTTACAGGTTTTCTTTTCTTTATTTTCCCTAACAGCCGAAGCCAAAGAGGCTAAGTTTGAATGATTGCTTTAATTAAAGTACGCCGAGTTAAGCTCGCTGCTAATGAATTAAGTTTAAAATAATTCTGCATGAAAGCAACTTTTAGGCTCTTTATAGTATTGAACTCGTACATCAAGTGAGAAATATTATTTAATTATACGGCATCTGTGTGCGTCTGTGTAGCAGATATTTCACACACATCCGATAGTCAACATTTTAATTTCAAGACTGAAGTGCTAATGAGCCAAAACTGATCTAATTTGCATAATGCTTATGAAAAGGCACTTATGCATACAATGAGATATATTCTGACTGAAGCTAAGGTTAACTGTTTATATAAAAAGTCAGGAGCATTTTTTTATGAATAATACTTACTTGGATTTCTTGCATAAATCTACACCCTATTTCTATACTGTGCAAAAAAGTTCTTCCCCTATTTTTATTTAAACTCTTACTTTGCATCTTTTTTTGTTTTTTACCTTCAGTATCCTGATATAGTTGCTAATTCTTAAGCAATATGTTCGTCCCAACTTTACAAATCCACCAGGAATGTTGCAGACAAACCTGAGACTGATTAGGCCGGATTTCAGGCAACTTTAAAGCATTTTCTGAGGGGAAATAATGAACCCAGGGATGCCTGAACACTTCCTCTCCGCTGCACGCTGAAGGCAAAAGGACTAGTAATTCTGCCTGGTTACATTAAAGGGATTTCTCAATATGATGTTATTACTGCTCCATAAATATTTACAGATTTAATTTAAACATTTGTACTAAACATGGCAATTTGTTTGCCACAGATTTGTTAAAGATCACATTTAGAATTTACAGCCTTAGGTCATCTCATTTTTTATTACATTAATTATAAATGTCCAAATAAAAAGCTTTTAGCCCCTCATGATTTAAAATGAGGCATTTAATAAGAATCTGCTGACACTGAGTCTCTAAGGAATGACCGTACGTTTAGCATACTATGCGAAAAATAAATCTATTCGAAATAATTGCAATGGATGGTGGTATTTAATAGTATAGCTACTTCTGCTGAAATAAAAGGTCTGGTAACATTTTCTTACACATAGTTAGACATTAAAATGAGGATAAACAAATACATCTATAACATGATGCAATATTTATTAATTATACCGCTTCTAAAAGCTATTGGCTGCATTAGATTTTATTTAGACCGTGTGTTGACACATCTACAGATCTTATTGTCCCACAATGGGGAAATTGTGGTGTTACAGCAGCACAAGGTTATAGCAGAAGTGGTCACACAATGTGGACTTTAACCATATATACGTTAAGTAATTTCCCTCTGGGATTATTAAAGTATTTCTGATTCTGATTCCCTCTGATTCATAAAAAATCCCTAACTTTGTGTTTGTCTAACACAGGAAATCTGGTTGACAGTCACTGCATTTGTGGTTCTAAAGTGATAAAAACAAGCTGAATATTAGAGTTAATGTAAAGCAGTGCACCATAACTTTAGAAGCTCAAAACACAGAGAGAAAACTGTCTGTAATCCTCTTTGGCTTTTTCACATTCCTATTGAATTTTACAATTATATGAAAAAGCCTTTTGCTGATATGAAACCAAAGAGCAACAACAGGTATTAGCAGCAGGGTGGTTAGCTACTCTGCTAACCGCTGCCTTAATTGAGACACTCCCAATCATTTACAGTTGATAAACTGTTGATAAACTGAACAGTGTAGCAGAATGGAAGAGATTATTCAGATTACCAAAACATTTTAATTAAAACAGCCCTAAAATATCTCCTTCTTTACTTAATGTGATTCCATTTATAGCTGAGACTAGACAGTAAATACAAATTAACCCCAAAACTAACTGGAACCGGAGCCAAGTCCTAGTAAAACTGCATCTAATTGTGTAAAACAACAAAAGAGTTGACTCAAAGCTCTGCAGACGTATCATCAGCATGTTATTAGTGTAGAAATGATTGTTTGTGCAGTTCACATAAGTTTTTCCCTCTCCTTTGTTCAAATCCACACTCCGATGTGCGCTCACATCTGGCACCCGAGCGAAGTCGAGGGGGAGGACGGAGCAACGTGACATTTGAAACAAAACACTTTTGTGGTGCGGCTGCGACCGCTGTCATGTTGCGCTGATGTATGCAAAGGAACAGACATTAAGTGTGCACATACGCACGGCTGCATTTTGGAGATGACTTTTTAACAATAACTGAAATGTCACTCAGCACCCGCTCGAGAACATCAGCGATCAGGGAGCAACAGGTGACGGAGATGTCAGCGAAAGCATCATTACAGTGGTTGAAAGTCGCCTCTCTGACATTTGGTTGAGAAATAAAAGAGCCATCCTGGGTTCTGTTTACATTTTACACCAAATCTTAGCTTGGTGTGGAAATTAAACCGGGGCAGAGAATGAATCTTTAATGAATGACAACACACCACAGCCTGTCAACTATCAAATCATTGAAAGCATTATTATCTTTCAGGCAGAGATAGTGATAACAATGTTAGTTAGTGGATAAAAAAGCAAAAAAAAGCATATAAAATCCGATAAGAGATTGTCAACCTGCGATGATGTCAGTCTGCATGCGGTTTGTGCCGCCAGGGCAGCAGCCATGCTTCATAACCAGGAGGAGATGCATGCAGCCACCGTGCAGGTTAGATAAACAAAGAAAAAAATCCTCCCCACCAATGTGATGCTGGTTTTGAGTCGTACCCAGGTCCATGCTTTTAGATGGTTTGATGTGCTGGAACTTCAGCTGATTCTGGTTCTGGGTGGGAGACTGGGGCTGGGCTACAGGAGAAGTCTTGGAGGTTTCACTGCAAAAGATGAATAAGAAGTTTGTTAGACAAGTAATGGCATGCGCCACCTTAGCACAGCTGCAGGTGGAGCAGATCAGAATGAAGCGGTCATTTTGAGAGGAAAGGCATCCATTGTCCAATCCCACTGATCTTGCACTGGAAAAATTACCTAGAAATAAGTAAAAACTTCTTGAATTAAGTGTATTTACCCTTAATTTGAGTATGTAAATGAGATAGTTTGCGAATGGAACGAGTTTTTGTACTCTTAAAATAAGATAAGTAGATAATATGCCCTTGAAATAAGACAATGCAGTTGTGTTTTCTTATTTTAAGTGTAAATTGTCTTGTTCCATTGGCAAAATGTCTCTTACCTCCTCAATCAAAGAACAAATACATTTATTTTAAGAAAAAATATATAGATTTAGATTTTTTCCAGTGTGTGCGACTGGTACCTTTCTTCAGCAGCCTCTATGTTAAAGCTGGGACAGAAACATGTTAAAACATAATGTGCCTCTTTCAAATGATGGGATTTTACATATTGTGAACATACTTGGGTTATTGGAAGAGTAATTTCACAAGAAATGGTAGCATTTAAAATGGGTTATAAATTTTGTTTCTATTACTGGCATGGTCATAAGTTTAGATTTTAATAAGCTAATAACATCAAAAAGGACAGATTATTTACATGCTAAAACTCCAAAACTGACCACAGGCTGTACTTTTTTTTTGTGTGTGTGTTTTTTTTTACATTACACCCTGATTGTTTTTATCCAATATCTTTACGTTCCCAGATCACGTTTCTGGAGATTGTCATGGCTCTCAAATGGAATAAAAGAAGCTGCATATTTTCTGTTTCACTTGATTGTTTTGTTGGGTTAAAGTAAAAGAAAATATTTACTATTAATCATTTAATACTTTAATTATACTACTTACAAACAAGACAACAAAATATGTAAAATAACTGGTGTATTCCCAGTGACCTTACATCCAACCGGTGTAGGAACACTTTAATCTCCAGGTTGAATCAAGACATTTCAAACTAATTTTCGCCAGGGCTGATAAAAGAAGGCTGATAAAAAGTAATTAACAAGAATGATAGTCATCACATGAGTTTAATTATCAGATATTTCTAAGATCTCTGTATGAAAACTGTCATAAAAAGCTCAAGCAAACCTTTCCTGTAAAAAGGAGCGGTGGTTAGAGCTGCTGATCTCAGCATCTTGTCTGTAGAGATCTCCCTCATCTTCCTCTTCATCCATGTGAAAATAGCTCCCATTGGTCACTGAAAAGCAGAAAAAAAACGATAAACCTGAATAAAAAGAATCCAGCCAGCCAAAACAGATTATTTATTATCCGTGTTTGTTTATGATATAAATTGTATTTCCACAGAGATTCAATGAAGCTGACATTCTGCTGTGTCACAGTTGTGAGAATGTGTTTTCTGTGATTTATTTTGGAGAAATGCGTCAGTGGGAAGTGATTTGACATGTAGGGGACACAAAACTACAAAATAAATGATCAGTAAGAAAACAAACACTGACTTTCTAACTTCCCTGGGTATTGAAATGATGTGATACAGATGCTCATTTCCTTCAGCAACTGGTCACCCATGTTTACCTTGACACCATGCACATTAGGGAGAACAATAACAGAGGTAAACACCCCTAAAATGACATGGAGCAAAATATGCCAAAGAGGAGTCATGGAGTCTCCATAACAGACATTAGACGGTACTACATACCAACTGATTGTTTAAGAGGAATCTTGGGGGGGGGGGGGAATGCTTTTCTGCCTTAGAATCAGAGCTAACTGTACATTTTTGCTAAATGCTAATGAGTCAAACACCACAACTTTGTCATTGATTCAGAGCTTCACCTGAATGCAAATTTTAAGCAACACAGGCTGAAAGGAGCTCTGGTGTAAAATGCACTGTTAGGTATGGTGGGGGATCTATAATGGTGTGGGCGCCTTTGCTTTTCAAATGCCCTGAGCACATTTCTAAGCTTGGGTCACTCCAGTTGTGTTGGACGATCCAATTTTTTTCCGTGTCACACTGACAGCAGTGGATAATCAGAGGCTCCTACTACACAGGGGGAGCAGATCTTGATCTGTGCAGAATTTTTTGTATCTTTGTCTCAGAGACCCACGCATTGAAATAAATGTTTTTTCCCACATTTGACTGGTTAAGATTAATAATAGGCTAAAAGATAACAAGAAAAAAAACAGGCCATAATTGTACAGTGATTCCCAGAGACAGATCTGTAAAAATTGCTGAGATTTTTTTTTTTTCTTATAAAGAGGGGAGAGAGATAATCTGCACATTCCTGCACTGCCCTTCGTTATTTTGTTTTTTGCAAGGCTCAAAGAGGATCATTACTTTATCTTTCCTCCTGAATTGTTGCTGTGTGACTCTAAACCTGACTATTTTCTCTTGAGATTAAGAGATTTTATTTTGTATTTTTCCCCAAAGAAGGATGTATTTTACTTTATAACCACATCTCTCTTCCTGTCAGACCCATGGAATTGCTGGTAAATTGCTGTGTAAGCCCCCTTGCAGAAAAAATTGTCAGTTGTGTTCATCCCTATTGACTCTCAATGAGCTCCAAAAGGCACGGCCTCGTCCGACATGATTTTCAATTGGATTGAATGGGAAATTACAGTTGGTGTGCAGAGCTTTAGGGTGAAAGGCCTCTTGAATATTTCAGAGCTGTACAAAGGTAAACGGGTAGTAATCACACCTAGATATCAACCGATAGGTATTAAGGGCAGGATCCTCAAAGAGTCCAAATAAGTCGGTGTGTTGCGGATGATCTACAAAGATTGCTGCACAAATGTTGAAGAGATGAAAATTTGCATCCTCTACAGGTGGTATATGAGTGGTCATAAAAGAAAGGTGAGGTTCAGAGCCACTAGAGATGACGGTAATACTGAATCATTATTGGTTAAATAATAATAAGACAAAATATTATTTAAAGTGCACCTCATAGCCTATCTCAAAGTGCAAAGAGATGGGCACTAAACCACCATAGAAGTTCATCATCATCAAATAAGTGAAAATATTCAATATTCAATAATGTTCCATCTATATTATTCTTCAGGACTGTTTAGTTTGTGATATTGGTTGGCCACAAATACACATTTTGCATACTGAGGAGGAACTTTGTTGGTTAAATGGAGTGTCCCTCCAGTAGATACACAAACATCCCAGACATAATAGTGTACAAGATGTCACTACTTCTACTATAAATATTTTAATTGGGGCGGTGAGTCGGGTGGTGAAACAGCAGGCACCCCATATAAGGAGGCCATTAGTCCTTAACATCGCCTTCCAGGGTTCAATTCTTGACCTAAGGATCTCTTCCCTCCATCTCTAGTTGCCCATTTCCTACCTAGAATCCTGTGAATTAAGGCCAAGTTTGCCATTTCATCCATACATCAGACCAACTATACAATAAAATAGTTGCAGTAAAACTTGCCGTTTTACATTTTTTTTAGACGAGCTAAAAATTATGTTTATTTAGAAAAAAAGTTAAAAAGTTCAAATGTTTTTAGATGTAATAACTATATATGTCCCATATAGAGTTTATGGTCAATCATGTGTTTTTGAATGATCTAGTTCAACCAACAATTCAGCCCTCATCAAGCATGTTTGTTACTCTGTTAAAGAAGTAAAAAGAAGCCACCAAAGAGTCCTACCTTTGCTCAGTTCAACCTTGCAAAACATTAAGAATACTGGTAATTGTGGTAACCGTGATTTTGTTTTTAAGTACTGTTATCTTTTTCCTGAATAAACAGGCAAGCCAGAAAATAAAGTTAGGATATTTAAAAATGTTTTGTATATTCCTTTATGATACAATTTTTTTTTTCTTTACAGATCCTTACAGGAAAGCCAACAAGTATAGGTTCTTCTATACAGAAATCTAAGTATTGATTCACCTGTTTTAGTCTCTAGAATATCTGACGTAAACACCTACTTAAATCAATCCAGCTGGCAACATAATAGCTTGTGCTATATTTACACTTTATATCCAATAAAAACAACAAGAGCACTACTGTTGGACTTAAAATCTATTTTCCTGCATTTTAGACTCAGAGTGCTTCCAACATGCTGGCAACCTGGAGCTCAATAGTCCGTCTGAAAGCCTCCTAAGTGAGGGCTACTGCTGCTCAATAGAACACGAGTAAGAGGTGGTTGAAAATAGCAGTATGACGGTGGTTTAAGTCCATTGTTCTGGAAAAAAAAAAACCTACAACATGAGATGGATTCTAAGAAAGGCTGAAAAAACACAAAAAATTCTATAATGGACCTGATGGAACCTAAACACAGCCAAGCTGAAAGGTTTTTCCTAATCTTTATTTATGGATAAACTTCCAGCTGCTTTCATTTTGGGAAAATTTGTTTGTTTTTATTTTTTTGTTTTTTTTAGATGATTTATGGTCTTTATCAAAGAAAAGGAGTTTAGATTTCTTACACTTTTCTCTGTTGAACAATGTTTGCCAGTACTTAAACCTCTGCTAAGTTAAGAGACGGAGGTTTAAAAAAAAAAAAAAAAACAACTGTAGAGATGAGTGAAGGAAAGTAAGAGAAAAAAGAGAGATGATGAAAAGGCAGCTGAAGATGTAGCAGATGTTTAACGCTGATAGGGCTTTGTCTTATGACAACTTGATACACAGACACCAAATCCTTTCCAGCGCCATTTACATACAGTCATCAGTTCTCAGAGTGCATTTGTGCTGCACAACACAAACTGGAATTACTGCACATCACTTCGCTGAATGCCCTTTATCTGCTGGCATCTGCACACGTGTGGCTGAAAGCAGAGACGTTTGGAACTGCAGGGGAAGACAGGCACGTCTGAAGATATCACGCCGCCTTCATCTCCATCCCTTCCTCCCTCTTTCCACACTAATCACCTGCTTTATTTTTTTTCTCCAGCTCCTTTTCTTGCAATCTCATATTTTGGCTTCCATTTATCTCTCCTCTCAGATCTCCCATAAATCATTTTATCTCCTGTTCAGTTTTCGGCTTTTTTATCCCTCCCCCGTACTCCCTTCCTTCTCCTCCTCTTCACTGCTCGCACCTTAATCAGCCAAACTGTCAAAAACACATTTTTTATTTCACCTCACACACGCAGAAATCTGTTTTCACTGACTCTCGCTATTTGAAGTGAAAAGGCATTTGTTGTGGATGATAGATCAATAGCAGTTTTCCCCAACAGCAGATAGACAAATTGTCTTCTTTGACACTCAACTATTCCTTTCTGTCAGCTATGTTTGTCTGCAGCAAGTCTATTTTACAAACCACTAAAAAAACAATGCCGTTTTTTAATGTCGGCTTGTGGTGGTCACCAGTAGATTTAGTTCAACTACAACAAACATGTTCAAATATCCGCTTTCAAACATGATCCTGTTTGTACTTAACAAGGGTTAAGTGGCTCTCAGTTGTGTAACAACCTCTGTTAAAATGCCAGATTTTTATGATGTAGAAATATAAGACCATGAGGGAATAAATGAAACATATAATGTATTTTCCCACAGATAAACAAATAAATCTTTTAGAAACCAAAAAAAAAAAGATGCAACAGCCAAACAGTAACTGTGCACAGACTGAAACTAACATAATGGAAAATCACCTCTGCTTCAAATTTAGCATCCAATTTTCATTGCTACTAAATAACTACACCACCTCTTGATTTGGAAATATATTCTGCCTTGTTAAGGTAACTCCTGTCCGCCCACCTCCACCGGGCTTCCCACTTTTTTAGTATAATTTACTTCTTGATTTTGGACCGGCCACTTCAGTTTAAATCATGCAGATGCAGATTATGCAGAAATTCACTTCTGTAGCTCTTGAATGCATTTCGCTGTGTACTTGGTGATTTTTAAAAGTCAAGAAAAGTTTAACTTAGTCTCCTTGTGTCTTGCCTTGAAAATATTTGGGTGATATTTTTTTAGGGCGTTCAGTTTTCTCCAGTTTAGAATAAGTAAAAACCAAAATGGAAGTACAAAACCTTGCAAAAAGTTTTTGTTATTTGGATGGTTTGGTTTCTCAGACTAAAAGTAGTTCAAGGCAGATGTAGGCTAAAAAAACATTAAGAAATAATTCTGGACTGAACCAGAATGAGTTTCAATATTTCATTAGCCTGAGTGTGTTCACACTTCGGCAACACGCCGTTTTATTTTATTAAATCCCTTTAACAGATTTGCTTGTTTTTCATACAATTTATTTTGAATAAATCTCACATTCTACGTAGAAATGGATTTTAAATAACTGATGATTAT